CATTTGATTTAAATTAAAAATAAAATTATTATACTTTTGCAGTTCCATATACGTACGTGAGTTTCGTACAAGTTATGTGTACTCAATTATTTTTTTAATAATGGAGTTGTTTTATTTTTCCGTTCATATTTAAAAAAAAACATCTTACGAACGATAATTGAATGTTTCATTTTATTGTATGTTATTGAATTTGTCATAAATATACAAAAACTATAGTGAAATAAATGTATCATTTATAGATATATTATTAAAAAAAATTATCATCAATAATATTTAAAAAAACAATAATTTTTATTTTAAAATATTTTTTATAACTCTATTAATTAAAAAAAAAATTGTTAAATGTATACATTTAACACATGGTATATCTAGGAGTTTCGACGGATAATGAACATGGACAAGGTTTCGGTAATGTTTGCGCAACTTTTTAAAGGAACGCGATCGCATCGGACAAAAATGCTGCGCGAATCGAGTGATGCGCCCGCAGAGATTGACAAGTGCGAGTGCGAAGGAAGCGACCGAAGCGCAGACGTAAGCAGCGTATCCACCCACGATGTGGCGTACTGTAACGAGGCTACAGTCCATTAAGTGCGTGCGGCTATTATGGCTAATGCATTACGGGGCGATAAAAAACGGGAACTATAGCACGCACACCGGTGCCCCCCTTCCCTCCCCCTCCCCCGCCTCGCCGCTCGCGTCTGCGGCCGCTCGCGCGCACTCGAGGGAACCGGACCACATTCCATGTCGACTCGGACGACGAGTACGAACTCGCTGCCCGAGTACAAGGCTCGTAGATACCATGCGCCGACGACACGCGCGCACTCGATGCAAAACGCATCCAGATCCGCCTCAATCCGCGCAGCGGTTGACACGCGTCCGATCTTTCGACGTGACATTTTTGTCCGAAACAATACTTTCGATTGTCACTATCGAGTAAACTTTGCATTAACTTTTACTCGGGATGGATCATTTTTTATTTTGACGTATATAGGGTACATGTCTAAATAATACATATTTTAAATTGGTACTTTTTTTTTATTCTTGAAATGCAATTTTAAATATCATAATTTTTATACTTATTTGCATCATCTGTCTGTTATATTTCATTTGTGTTTATAGTTTTCTGTTTACGTTTGCCTGTCATCGTTATACTTTATAATTACTGTTTCTCCCTCTCTTATATACCTATCCTGAAAAAAGTACTAAACCAAAATTCCTAAAAATCTATTTGTGATTTTAAATTGAAATTTAATTTGATTGATTTTTTTCGGGGTGAAAGTGCAAAGGGAGGGACTCCATCCCTCTTCCGTCCACAGTTTTACTTTATAATAAAGAGGACTATGATCTTCAAAGTATACACACATGTCAAAGTTAAAGATTAAATTCTCTTTTCTAAAAATGTTATATTTACAATCAAATCATTGTATTCAAAATTACATATCTCAGAAGTAAAAAAAAGCACTACAAAATTCAAAGCGTGTGTTACTTTGGAATGCACCCCCTACAACATCTGTCAAAATGAAAATGATCCGTGCTGTGTAATTTAGTATAAAGTTTTACCATCGATTTTTTCGCCAGAAAATCTGAAACATCCGATAATTTTAAATATCGATTTTTATTTCCGTGTGAAAAATGCATTTTATCTTTAGACTTTTAATCGTCTCGAGTTTTTTTTTCTCAAACGTGATATAAAAAGATGATGATAGAAGGCAGACTGCTTAGAAAGATTTGTCAAGATGACATCTGGTTTATCTAGGAATCCCGTAAATAAGAAGAGGACGGGGAGGGAGTAACACGGCAAGAAGAATGTGGACACGGAAACGATAGGGTGACGTGTAAAAAAAAAAAGACGAGAGGCACGGCAACCCTTTTCTCTTTCCTATCCCTCGCACGGAACCACGGAAACTACCTTGGAAATTCGACTCTAAAAATATTCGTCTTATGGAGTTTCTCCGTTTTTTTCGGCCGCGCTACTCCCTACTCCCCGACTCTCTTTTTTGTCCTTCTACCCTCGGGAGACGCGCATCAACCATATGGCTTGCGTGCGCGCGCGCTCGCGCGCGAGGGAGAGATAAAAAATTCATATTTTCACTGGAAGGGCTGAGTCTCTCTGAGCGGTATTTTTAAACTTCGGGGAGTGCTCTGAGAAGGAGAGCATTCAACTTTCGTTTGTCCGTCAGATTCTAAAAGTTTCCGTAAATCCTCTCCTCGCCAACAATCAATCATCGAGATAGGAAAAAATTATCGCTTATTATATCGCTTAATTACATCGCAAAGAAATCTCAAGCAAATTGTATAATCTTGTGCGTCTTACGCATATGTTTTTATCCATCCAAGTAGTAATATAGAGCAAATGGAGCCCGGATACTGGCTATACCTGAAGTAAAAAATAGCTTTTCCATTGATCCCCGAGCTATCGGCGCGCTATTCCGTTATTTAAAGGGTTTCTTTAGGCTAATGGTTTTCTCACACGATCCTCGAAACGGTAAAAACCCCTTTCACGGAAATCGAAACCCCTTCGGGAGGCTGCGGCGGGTCCAATCATTGGCACATTACGCAAAATCATGCGGTCCCAGTGATAGCTTCCGATACCTGGAAACACGATATTTTATTGGTGGATTAAGGCCCTTTAAGAAAACGTCGTGGTAGAAAAAGAGACGGCGAGAGAACGCGCAAGCGTTCTGACCTATTTTCGAGGGGTTTTGCTTCAACCCTTTCGGGACCTAACGGGACGTCGCGACTTTTTTCCCACATTCTACTTTTCTGAAAATCGACTACCTGATCATCAACTGGTTGTTGCGACGTCCAAATGGGGTCGTTTCATAATACGGGAAAGGGTTCACCGTCCTTCCTGTTTGAAAATTTAATTTGCTCCGCCGAGCAAAAAAAATAGAAAGATATTTATAATAATTATGCTTAATTGATTTACGGTTGATTGTAACAACAATTTTCGTCGTAAGCATATGTCTTGTAATAAGTAAGATTGATTATTCCCTTTCTTCCTCTCTTTCTCTTACAATATTAATAGTAATAATTTAAATAACGAGAAATAGAAATACGCACATGATAAAATAGACTAATAATTTACGCAAGATTTCCATAAATCGAGAAGATACGTAACACGGGTAACTTACATACACAAAGGCAAAATATACACTGAAAAAATTGTATTCTCAACTTGAGAATATGCCACTTATCTTTAGAATATATACTAAAGATAAGTGGACTATTCTTAAGTTGAGAATACAATTTTTTCAGTAGGGATATGTAGGAATATAAATACAAACGGGACGATAATTGTGATAAATGAACGCGTTAAAGAAATCAAAAGAGGCACGTTCACACGACGTGTATTGGTATAATCACGTGAATCAGACCCATTTTCGTTCATGACTCTTTTCAGCTTTAATCAGCTTAATCTCTGTTAAACCTACCCGCACGATGTAAATAGCTCGGAAACGTCAATCTAAAAATTGGAAGGGATATTAATGTCGCGATGTATCAGAAATGTAACGGGAATAATAACAAGCGAGGAGAAGAGATGCTTATAATACTTTATCATTCTCTTTTGGAAGAGTTTTCAACAACTAAAACAACTTTTTATTCAATCGATAATGATATAATGTTAACGATAAATTATTAATCCACAATTTATTCGAATGAAAAGAAATCTGTTTTTTTAAATCCCATAAAATTCGAGCTAGTTTCATTTTAGAAAACGAAATCTATTGTTGTTTCCCTTTTGATCGCATCCAATTTCTGCAACGCTACAGCATCCCTCGTTTTCTCTCAATTAGCGACGTCCATGGATCCCCCACTCGTCCCTCGAATAATCGTCACCCCTACGTAACGCATCGGCGATAAGCATCGGCGGCATCGTAAGTACTTTTGCGGGGGTAAAAAGTGGGAGTGTCCTTCGAGGGTACTCGAGTGACGTCATTGGTCGGCGGGATCTTTCTGTGCGGGATAAAGTGGCGATTCTGCGCAGGGGTAGAAAATTAATGCATTCCGAAATCTCGCGCCTCATCTTTCGCGAATCCGTTTGCGAAATATATCGCGATGACGTATCGATCTAGCAGCGCTTCGCGTATCAAGTCTTTTGTCACTTGACGCAATCCGAATGCTGAACATTGTCTAGCGAAACATATAATAAATACAGAGAAAGCGCTTCTGTAATCAATTAAGACTAATGTAATCGTAGGAACAGAATTCGTCGAAGCAGACTCGTTTCAGGAACGCGTCGTCCTACTTCGATGTGCGAGAGAGTGCGATGCTAAAGATCGAGCCAATCATTTTATCGTCGGAAAAGTTGGAAAGGTTTCGAAAATTCATATCAACAAATTTGTCACGCTGTACATTACTCTCCCGTGACGGGATAAAAATGATTTATTTAATACTCGGAGATAATTTCGTTGGCCTACCTGCCCCCCTCTGATAATAATGAGATTAACGCTCTCGGCGAAACCACCCCCGCGGGTCCCCCAGTGGCACGCGCGCGTGCGGGAGCATCTCGGCGGCGACGTACAAAGCGGTGCGCGCGGTTCGCCAGCCGGTGGACGAATGCGAGCGACAGCGGTCGAGGAGCGGAAGAAGAGGAAGGAATCGCACGGCGGTGGCAGAAGTTGGTCTCTTTGCCCCCGTCATCGTCGTCGCGGCACCGCCACACGGCCGCGGCGACGTCGAAGGGGAAGGGGACAGGCGGGAAGGGGGGTGCGATGCGTACCATCGGGGGTGGGAGGCGGTGGAACATCGGCCGAAGGCGGGGAGAATGCGACACGTCACTATGCTCGACGGGGTGGGGCAACCTACGAACGTTAAACTGGTGGGGACCCCCAAAGTATCCGCGATCTTTCCCTCTCGGTGAAAGAGGGGCCAGGTTGGGGAGAGAGAGCGGCGTGTCTTCCCCCCTCCTTCCCCTCCTCGATTCCCCCCTCTCCGCCGTCTCTGTCTCTCACCCTTTGGAGGGGTTCAGTCATCTCGCGCCAGCCGAGCCACGCGCACTCTCTCCTCTCTGACATTCCGGGCTCGCTGGAGAACGCCGGAGAACCACCCCGTGATTCCGGCGACGACGACGGCGTCACTGTCGTCGCGAGGGTGGCGTCCCGCAACGAGGGTGGCGGCGGCGGTGGTGGAAAACGCGCGACGAGGGCCAGAATTTGCGGGGGTCTGAAGAAGAGACGCGAGGAGCGAACCGCCCTCTTTGGACGCCGGGAGACCACCCCCACTTCTTCCCCCTCTCGAGCGAACGCGAGCGCGCGCGCGCGCGCGCGCGAGTGCGCCTCCCTCCTCGTCGCGGGTGCTTAGACAGCCTCGGGAATCGGACACACACGGGTGGAGAGAACTCGCGCGTGTCCTACGCGATCGCCTTCCCGGACAAGATCCATCGGGGACGACGGTTTTCGAGTGTCGCGATAACGCGGACAGAACATCGGAAACCACCCGCTTGTCTCGTAACTCGATGCATATTTCATCGGGGACGTGTTATTATGTATACGTAGTGCTAGTTACCATAAAGAACTGTCACCGCTCGATTCCCGTAGGGAAACGCAATCATGATAAAGTAGGCTTCCCAATCTGACAATTTCTCGGTGAAAGAATCGGACGAAGGAAACGGTGCACGATGAAATTGAACCGTCAAAATAAACATCGATGGTGGTCGGTCGGGGGGATCGCTAATCACTGGGACTGAAGGGACGATGAGATATCGGATCGAGAATGCCGAATGATTATTGCATGTTTCCAAAGAATCTCGAGTGACGGTGTTGGGAGCGGTACGGAAAGTGTCCGATGAGGGTGGAAGTGATCTCAGTGGATTTCGAGGAGGGAGGTAGGAGCTGGTGCGTGTTTCGTGTTCCTCGACAGAGGACAGGACTCTTCGAACAAGTGTCCCGGGGCTTCGTGACGAGGATCGATCAGCAACGAATCGAGAAACTCGAGTCCAGAATCTACGGATTGTGCAAGTGATCGCGACTCGAATATTCTGCGAGTTTGGTGCGCGATATTGTCACAATTTCGAAGTGAATGGAACAGAGCCTCCTCCTTCTCGAAGGGCGAGAATCGCATCGTCGAAAGGCGCAATAGAACTATGATGTCGACGGGAGTAATTTGTGGCAGAAACGGAAATATCGACTAAAGAGCAAGAGGTAAAGTTTGCTTCCGGTTCTTCTAATCGATCGTTTTTATTACGCGAATCGATATTATTGTTCCATTGACAAGGGAGGGAAAATTTTGATGCGTTGATATTTAAACATTTTTCATTTCTTGCGATACTCTCGTATAAAAAAGAAGAATATGGCTACTTTATTTACTTTATACTGAATATGTAGGAACATTTGATAATGTTCTTTTTCGCAGTAAATTACCGTACGTATTAATAGGAATTATTAATTGCAAATATTAATGTCTCTGTCTAGTATCTGGAACAAATTATGAATTATGAAGCAGTTCATTTCTCGCGATGCGATATCGTGATGTACATTGATTATAAATCGATCTCACGTTCTCCTATTTTGTGTTGAAGTAGCTTAGAGGGATTTTATTGTCGTGAAAATTTCGCAAATTTCTAGGATTTTCGCATTCTTGCGTTTATTTATGTTACAGTCGTTCATAAACAATGTTAGCAATTCTGCACTCGAATTATGTCCCGCATTACAGTGATTGTTATTGTTATAAAACATAAAGTATATAGTTGGCAGCTTTCTCGATTCCGAGATTTCCGCAACACGTTGCATTGCATCTCGAGAAAACGAAATTAGCCCGTGGTTCTCGACGCGATTCCACGGAATTTTGTCTTAAAAAAATCTGCTCCGAAAATTCATCGGAGCGCGCCAACACTAATTCGAGTTTTATGTTTGATCGCGGGTCAATTTGGCAGAATATCATACAACAAGTCGTCTACAAATATCAATACTATCTCGCTCCAACTTTACAGTTTCGCGTTGTGACTTCCGAGCAACACCTTCGATTTTCCGTATTATTATATCCTTAATAAAGCATCGATATTAAATCGTCCAAATAATCGCACTCGCGACTCGAAATTCATTCCGATGATCGTCGACCTTCCTGTCATGATTCGGTCATTTGATAATTTCTCCTCTAGTTAGATTATATAACTTTCTTTTTCGGATTTTATTCTTTCTTATATTAATTATCTCTGCACCATCTCGTTTCTACTCTTCACTCGACATATTCGTTTAATTAATATTTGGGATTTATGATATAATTTATTAGAATCTATTATACTATACTACTTTTGCGTGATGCAAAGTTTGCAATATTTTGCCTTTGTTTATTTCAATCATAGCGAGATTCCCTAAGAAGCTTTTATTAATTACTTTGTCTGCCTCTTGCGTAAGGTACGGCAAAAAGATGTGAAGAGATACATTTTAAAATTAAAAAAAAATAAATTTAAATAAATTTCTGTACGAATTATGTAGAATTCTGTGAAAAGACTTGGTAGAAAACTTTTGCAAGAGATTGAAAAGTGAGGAATTTATTGAAAGAAACGATAAAAGAATTGCGTTCGATAGTCTACACTTAATCAAGAGAGAAAGAGAAGAGAAAAACGCGATAAAGAAATAACCGAGAGCAAATGGCGGATGTGACAAAGAGAGGAGCGCGCGAGGAAGAAATGAAGAAATCAGGAAAGGGGAATCGGAAAGAAGGAGAGAAAGGACAGTGGACAAGCGAGGAATCGTGTACGTTTATATACGTCGCGGGATATATTAGCGAAAGCAGGAAAGGACGAAAGATACAGAGGACCACAGAGGAGAGCGAGGGAAGAAAAGGGTCGAGCTTCTCGAACGCGGATAAACGCGAACGCGGGGAGAAGTCGGGGAGGAAGATGAGGAGCAAGGAGGTGAGGGGAAGGGGGAATGAGGGAAGAAAACCACGAAACAATTGGAGAAGCGGAGGCGGCCGCATTTCATGTTGTCTGGCATCGGCTCCCTTTAAAGAGTCTCTTGCTTTTTGTTAGCTCTTCGAAAATTATGATTGTTTGTCCGCGAGATTTACTGCTCGGAGGCTCCCTCGACGCGCCGTACGTGTACATGTGTACATACATGTGCGTGCACGTGTGAGTGTGTGTGTTTGTGTGTGTGTGTGTGTGTGCGCGCAAGGCGCCCTCGAGAGGAGGCACCGCGATCTTTCGCTAGGCCGCGAACGGGTTTCCCGAGAGGGGTAGGGGCTCGGGGAGAGATGGTGGTCGGAGAGGGACGATAGAAACGCTGGAGGTTTACCGAGAGATTAAAGAATCGAGGATTTACAACGCTCGCGCCACCAAATTGGTGCACCTCGTGTTGCTTCCTTCTCTCTCTCCTTTTCTCTCCTTCCCTCTTTCTCTCTCTCTTGGCAATTTACTTGTCGCGCTATCTCGTCGGATTTATTAAATTAGTCGCTGTTTGGATTAAGAGATTTCGCTTTGAGACGAAAAAGAATTCCGCCGAGGCCGCTCCAAATAACAAGATGAAAGGCAACTTGCGATCGAGTTTGCACGTGTCGTCTGGATAAATAAAAAATTAATTTAAGCCTAATCGAGGAAAATTTTAATTTATTTTCGATCGCAGAATATTGTGAATACGTTTGTATGCGTATGTATGATTTTATAATTGAATATATCATATATCGAATCTGATTTTTTTATGCTGCGTAATCAAAGAGTATTGAGCATCTATCAATCATCCGTGAACGTCCAGATGTATTAATTAAAGCGAGCTATAATATTGGAAAAAAAATTAAATCAAAAAGAGATTAAGTTTCTTAATATAATTAATATTTAGCTTACATATTGGAAATGCAGTTGTAGATGATATTAGGGGAATTTACTGAAAAAAACTTTCATGCTTTCACATATTATGAGATTTCCATTGTACGAACGGCTTTCCTGGACATTCCTTGGATTATTACGAGACCCGACTTGGACCGCAACGCATATTCCAGGAGACACCTGTTGCCGTGTTCCAACTTCCCCGCGGAACTTTCCCCCACGGAATCGCGCTAAAGATTCCTTTACGATCTCTCGGATGAATTTTCGAATCCGCTAAGCTACCGAGAAGGAGCGTTCCCGCCCGGGACTCGACTCGGGGCGAGCATATCCGGTTGATTTATTCGAGATCTTATTGTGGCCCGGGAACGGGCCGACTCTTCTTCGGAGGAGTCGACTCCAAAAAGCGATCCTCCATCTCTCCGGCGCGCCGGCTCCGGCGATCGCTCTATAAATTTCACGGGAGTCTCTCGAACCCTATATTTTCTCGTTATCCTCGCGTTTTGCACGACACGTTTTATTAAAGTACGATAATTTTACGAGGGTCGGGACCGTCCTCCTGGCTCGTTTCGTTTCGCGCCCCCTCTCTCTCTCTCTCTCTCTCTCTTTTTCTCCTCCACAATTTTTCGCCGCGTGAGATTCGCTCGTTCGCTTTTGTTTACGGCATCTCGGCTGAATTTCGATCCATTTTCCACATCCTCTCTTCCTCCCTCGTCTATTGATATTAACGTATGCTAATTTCGTTAATTACACGCGAAAATTTTCAGTCATCGCCGTTAAACACACTCGCGCGAACGGTGTCGGGTTTTCGAGCGTTTATATTGCGCGCGGATGTTTATCTCATTTTTATCGTATATTAATATATACGATGCTAATTAAGACCATACCGCTGTCGCGATACGACAGTGAAATGCGAAGACGTGACGCGCGATACGTCGATGAAAACGCAGGATACGATATAATCTTTTGTGCTTTTAATAACGCTTACACTCGGGAACGAATAATATATTCAATTTTATTCGCATGTGGCTTTGTTATCTACGATGCAAATATATATGCGTGATATTAATTATACGATGATATCACCGCGTAAAACGTACTTTAAAGTACTTTTCCTATGTTTAATACAAATATCTATGGTAAGATAAGCTTTAATTAAGACACACGGTGCAAGCTTGTGACAAACGCGTCACATGCCGATTGAAAAAAAAAATAAAAGGAGTAATCAATTTAATTTAATATCGATCATTTTTCCACTTGAAAAACATGACCGATCTCGATGCTAAATTTAAAGGTTTTAATCGCGCGAGTATCGTCGCCGCGAAACGTCATCGTCGGCTTCTCGCGCGTATGTTCGTACATATATCCGAGAAATTGTGCTCGTCCGAGTCAGCTCGGCAGTAAAAGGCCTAAAGTTTTTAATACTTTCAGTTGTTTTTATGGCGGCTGGCATTCGCTCTTTTTTATTGTTTCGTCCCCAGCCGCTTCTCTTTCTCTCCGTCTCTTTCTCTCTTTCTCTCGCTGGAACGCGCACAAGAGTCCGAGCATGTCGGAGGAAGAGAGAGGAGAGGAGACTCGCAGTCAGCCCTCTCTGATGTACGACTCGGCGGTCCGCGTGAAAAAAATCCCATAAACCAGTAAAAAAGCATGGGATCTCTGAACTGGAGGGGTCGAGAGGGATGGAGACGCGAAGGAGGGGTAGGAAGGGGGGAGAGGTTCCAGTATCGCCAAAGGAATTCCTCTTATGACGAACCACGCGTGATTTTCTTTCGTCTTCCCCCTTCCCCTCGTTCGCTCTTCGCCCTCCCTCCCTCCCTTCCCTCCTCTATAACGTTCGCTTTACCGTCGCGGCTTTACCCGACAGTCCCAATGCGCGTTTCTTCACCTTCGTTTCGGCCCTTTTCTCCGCTTCTTCTTCTTCTTCTTCCTTCCCCTCGCTGCCGATTCTTTCGCGAGTCTTAATCTTCCCGCATCTGTCTATCTAATGCCGTCTTAATTAGCCATAGTAATGCCGACGGGTTTTATGTTTTGACGTTGAAGGGAAAAGGGGAGGGAGAAGCTAAATTCCGCTAACATAATCTCTGTTTCTCTCTCTTTCTTATTTTTAACGTGCGATTTCTAACGTCTAGAGTTCTTTTTTTCGCTTGTGTGACAAATTTTGATGTCGTTGCAAAATATTTGCAATGTCGAAAGAATTTTCGAGGAGTCGAGTAGGCGGAAGATTTTCGAAAAATGGGCAATTTTGTTTCTTCAATCGATTGCTTATCGTTTAAATAGTTTAAAGTTTCGACGTTTCTTGTTTTTCTCCCCTTGTACTTTCCTCTCTTTCTTTGCCTTTTCCCGTTTGCTTACAACACCCAGTCATCAAAATACGCAGTTTCA